TATATATATATATATATATATATATATATATATATATATATATATATATATATATATATATATATATATATATATATATATATATATATATATATATATATATATATATATATATATATATTCTCGCATTGCTGGAATAACCTCAATATAACATAATCATTTTCACCCCAATTAAGCTTTTGTTATCAATGCTGAATTGCTATTCAGTTATTATTTGTCATCATTTCGTGATAAAAACAACCACCGATGCACAAGTTGCTCTGTTTTAAACGCATCAACTTATGCTTCGAAACTTTAAACATACCAATCAGCAAACTTGGTGACATTAGTTTTGAAAATATTTAACTAAAACTTTTCAATGCCGTGTTTTCAATATATTCTTCGTAAAAACATTTTAAAGCCACACTTTAACCTGACCAGGGGCAGAAATGTAATAATGGCGGACATCGCATTATCTAGGCAGTACTTGTTCATTAAACAGACCCGTAATAGTAATTCGTTTGGCACATACATTAAGGAATATATAAAATTCCTAAGAAACATGAGATAAACATTCGGTGACTAAATATTCAGCAATTTTAAAAAATAACAGTCCGAAATATATTACACAATGCGATGTTGGATAAATCTTTAGTTCTAAGGTCAAGGTTGTTTTCTTATATCACTCATTTAGTGATAATAACATAACATAGCCAAGCAAATCATATATAACAAATAAAACATATTACCAGTCAATACAAATTATTACAACCTATAATTATTAATATATTTCTTTAAATATAATTAAAGCGTGTGTGGTACGGTATTTGCAGGTGGATAGTTTTTTTTTTCTTTTAAGTGTTTGCAGTCTGTGTGTCTCAGTATTGTCCTGTTTCACTAGGACTACAGATTCTCGATGCATGGCAACCTTCAAATACTTGAAACTTCCTACGAAAATCTTAATTTCTAAATCGTTTTCTTCTTTCGTGACTTTCAGGATGATTCTCAACTAGTGTTATAAAACCATTGATCTTACATATATTTAAAATGAAATGAAATGTATACCCCCACCAACAGTATTACCAAGGAGTTGACATATGTGACCAACTCAGGGCCAAATATCCGGTTTGACGATCATCCAGCCGGATATTTGGCCCTGAGTTGGTCACATATGTCAACTCCTCGGCAATACTGTTGGTAATTTGTGACTGTCTTTTGTCTTTTGTGACTATCGTACTGCATAAAATGCTACCAAACTGCCAGGGTCATACCAATTCAAAGGCGACACAGAGCAAGATCAGTAGAAATTCGAGATTACTTTCCAGTTACTAAACATAAAATCAGTATCGCATGTCTTCTTTTAAGGCTGACATGTCGCACTGTCCCATCTTTCTTTTTCCGGTTAGCAATATCAATGATGGTTGGATCTGCTACAGTGGATAGGACTATGACTGGTTTCTTGTCCTTCCACATTATGGCTGTCAGGTTTCAATCCTGTCTGATTACATGATCTCCTTGTTCCATATATGGTGGATATTTAAATTCCTCTGAGAAACCTTTACGGTTTTTCCTCATTGTGCCACAAGCATATATACCATGTCTCAATAAACTTTATGCCTGTCGAATGTATCTAAATATAAGTGATTAAAATATACATGATAAAATTTCGTCTCAAGGGCATAGCTAGGTTTTGCACAACTCAAAATTATTGATGCTCTCATTAACTTCAGCTGTATCTTCCTTTCCCTGGTAAAACTCAAACTGGTGACAGAAACAAGACAAACTATCACTGCGCATCAATCTTTTAGGCCCCACTTGATTGGCTTTGAAGGAAGGTACTGCTTGGCTTTGTGTCGTCACTTGAATGCAATCATACCTGTAAAATGCATTATCTCCTTGATAGATCATTTAGTGAAGTAATGTATGAAATTTTAATCAAAACTTAAAACAGGATCAGTTAATGGAAACTAATTGTTTTATTTCATCATTTTGAAAAGGTATGCAATAAATTTCAAATATTCATGAGTCTAATGTTTATGTATGGAGCTGTGATAGACTAGAGCTGTGTGGTAATGGATATCTAATGTATGTTTGTGTGTGTGTATATTATATGCACACATGTTTGTTTCATATTGGACATAATTTAAATTATGCAAATATTATGTCTTTTATAAAAAAAAAATTTCAAAATTATCAAATTAATGTAAAGATGAAATACAATAAAATATGCATGCATGTATGAATGTGTATATTTGATAATCTCTATATGTGCGAATGTGTCTGCTGTGCAATTTACTGTTGGAAAGAAATACATTATTTGTAATGAATGTAGAAATGTATCAAAACCTAAAACCTTCATCAATGGTTTGATGTTGGCGAGGCTTGTATTTCTTCTCAATGTCGGACAGAACTTCATCCAGTATTGGATATATTTTGTGAAGTTTAACATTTTTAGGGTATTCAGCAGGAAAATTTGTGTTGTCATCATTTAGGTGTAGGTACTGGAGGAGTTTTTCAAACCTTCTGCGTGGCATTACATTTTTTATTCCTTCATTGGAAAGAATCTTATCATTTGAACAATAAAAAGCTATAGTCAGCAGCTTTGATTATCTCCATGAAGATCAACATGCCAAGAAAGGCAGACATCTCAGGAACACTGGTCTCTGTCCATTTTGCATAACTAATTTGATGATTAACATGTTGTTTGGCTGCAAAAATTATTTGTTTCACTTACAATCTTTTCAAAAAGTTCAACTGGAAAATATAATTGGAAATAGCCCAGTTCTGGTGCTGTCTCATGCAAATTATGAGATGGTCCTGACTTGAGTAAATGGACTTCTGTCAATATCTTGCACGTCTGCAAACCAATTTGGCTGATCTTCATCAGTATCACTAGAGTCTGATGACATTTCAATGTCAATATCTGACGACAGAATTTCATATCCTTTGTCATTAGAGGCATCATTATTTTTGCTAAATCTTGTATTTCGTCGGAACTGAATCCAGAAAAATCGTTTTCACTTCCAGACAAATCTGTGTAGTCAACAGACGAGGACGACATCGCCATGACGAAATCGGGGAATTCCCTTCGTAAATAGAAAATGCTACTTCCGGTATCGTCTGTTATACGATTTGATTGAAACTTTGCATATTGAAATAAATAGAAGAAATTAAAAGCACAAACATTATTATTATTATTGTTATTTTGTCATTTGCCTTGCAATTATGGCAAATTTCGTGTTTTAAACACGTTAAAGCTACATTATACATTACAATGTACTGCAGAAGAAATTACGTAATTTGCCGCGCATTTTAAGAATGTGATTTTCCACATGAATAACATGATGACATTATTATTTGATACTATTAATGTAAACTTCAGCATCATATTTTAAAAAAAACAGTTAAAATTAACAGATATATGTTGAAACGGCCATAAAATTTACATCGAATTTAGGTATTACAATCAGCTAAAGACGCCATTTTGGATAAAGCCGTGGACCCCCCCACGTATAATTTGGTCGGTTAAATTTAGAGTTTTATGTTCTAATGTTAGGAACAATGTCCTTAAAATCAAATGTTAGTAAAGATGATATACTATTTTAACCAGCGTTTGGTTGTCTCCCAGCGAATCAACATTTAACTAGATGATGCAAGATATTCATAGTAGGTACTGTTTAGAGCGTAGAAACGCGTAGATGGGGGAGGTAAAAGCGGTGTTATATGTAGCTTGGCGGGGGGGGGCAAGGTAAAGGCTTAGAAAAGCGTACTTGGGGTGTAAAGGGTTAACATATAGCCAAGAATATTCATTAGGACAAAGGTGGACTTAATATGATCATTGAAAATTGATATTTCGTGGTAAATACCATACTATCGCGTTAAATAAAATCATTACTTGTTATTGTGGTAATAGGAGACCACAAAATTGAAAGTCACTAGCACAGTAAGAATAGGGCAATGTTTCGCACGTTTTTGGCTAAAGAAGGTCTTACTATCGTACTGCATAAAATGTTTCCAAACTGCCAGGGTCATTCCAATCCAAAGGCGACACAGAGCAAGATCAGTAGAAATTCAAGATTACTTTCCAGTTACTAAACATAAAATCAATACCGAATGTCTTCTTTTAGAGGTACCTTGTCAAGCTTCTTCAAAAGTTTGTAAGTTGAAATACATACTCAACCGATTTTCAAATATACTAATTTCGAAAATTCTCCAAACATAAAAATATTACTTATCAAGATTTCAAACAGTTCAACCACTGTAGATTGTTAAATACCGTATAGAATAAAACAGACCGTCATCACTACAGCAAAAAATAAACGAAGAAACTATGTAAGACTAAAATTCAAGTTCCCTTTTAAAGGAAGGAAATACGTGTTGAGATCACATGGTCAATGCGGCTCATTAACGATCCGTAAAAGAGCATTGCCATATCCAATATGACAGCGTTTAAGTTCATTCGTGTCTCTGCTAAATTACTTAGTCTATATACGATGTAAAAGAAAATCATGGGATAATATTTGCATATTAAAATACAGAAGCAACTATAACATAAACATCGTAAAGGTGAGAAAGTATATCGAGGAGTCCGTGTTATTACAGAGAACAGTTGCATTAAGAATCATGTATCCCAGTGAAGAACTGAACAATAGCAATATATAAGTAGTTTGCCAATTATGGCCATATAACTGGTTTCCTAAGACAGAAAAAACTATCGGAACTATTATGTCAAGTTCTAAATTAGAGTGAATGTGTGTGTGTGTGTGTGTGTGTGTGTGTGTGTGTGTGTGTGTGTGTGTGTGTGTGATTTGGATTTTTAACGTAGCTTTAACAATTTCACCGTCATATAGCTTTGATGTCTGCAGGGTTGCAGTTTATAGTGATGTCTAGAACAGGGACATTAAGTCAGATATGTAGCATAATGTGTCACCCAGTAACATTATCATGACTCCAAGTCGACCAGTCCTAACACTGACCTCGTAATGCTGAGAGCTTAGCATGGCATTTTTATGTCTTTTGGTATGACTTGGCCGGAGTTCGAACTAGCGACCTCCAGCATCCCAGGCAGAAGCTCCAACCACTAGGCTACATGTAACTGTTTTAAATCAAAGAAAGGCATTTCGTATATCAAACATGTTAGAGGGTAAATATTTCTTCTTATCAGGACTCTAACTAATTTCGCATGTAACGGCAGTTATCTCTCAGATCTCTCGAACCCACTACTGCCATGAACACGTCTAAACTCATGAATGGAAAAAGCTCCCAAACAAAAAATCACTTTGAACCAGAACTCACTCGTGATAACACTTCGCTATATGTGCAAACCTATTGTATTTCAGTTTAGAAATAAAAGGTTTAAAAATGAAATCGTAATTATAAATTGACACATATCTAACAAACAGATGAAAAGCACGTTTTGCTGGTTCCCGCATTATATTTTTCGATACGTGATTATGTGAAAGAAATTTGCATAGCAGGACGCCATTTTGATCAAACAGGTTAATTAGTTAATATTCGATTTTAGCAGTACTCAAACTCATGTCTCGATTAACAGCATCTACCTCCAAGCTGTCACCAGGCTGGAATACAATTAAGTATGAGCTCATCCTCTACAACAGATGGAACAAGACCGAAGGCAACCCGAAGTACACGAGAATTATTTCTCTAGGCAAGCAAAATTTATGCATAAATCCATTGGATTTCTTTTTAGAAACACAAGGTGTAAACGAAATTATAACTGTCATTGTAGCAGAAAAATGAGGCGTAAAACACAGGGGGTGTAGTGGGCAATCAAAGAAGGTGTGTTAAAGAGCAAACTAGGTCAATAATCATAATTCACTGCAAACTATGGAGCAGGTTATTTAGATTAAAATATATGAAGAAATTGCTATTCATTAATAATGATAAACTAGGCGTTCTATACATGGTTATATTATGAAGTACAGCGTGGGAAATGATTTTGTACAGCACGCATTAGGAGTACATTCGGGGTAAAACTCAAGTGAGGTGTTCTAAAATCAAATTTATCTGACTGTAATTGAGACATTGTACAGGAAAACAGTATAATTAATTTATCTACAATGACAGTGTCATTTAATTCAAGATGGTGCCAGACAAAGAACGGCAAAAAATATGTTTCCACTAGTCTTTACGTAATCTTATCACAAGAGGGTGTACTTAATCGAATAAGTAAATTCTGTTATTATTACCATTATTTTAAAAGTAACACGTTTAAATAAATAGGTACCTAATCAGAAATATAAGGGAATTCATTTCGAGGAAGCAAAAAACCGCGCGTGTGTATGTATGTATATATATATATATATATATATATATATATATATATATATATATATATATATATATATATATATATATATATATATATATATATATATATATAAATATATATATATTTATATATATAATATATATATATATGCATGCATGCATACATACATACATACATACATACATACATACATACATACATACATACATACATACATACATACATACATACATACATACATACATACATACATACATACATACATACATACATACATACATACATACATACATACATACATACATACATACATACATACATACATACATACATACATACATATATATATATATATATATATATATATATATATATATATATATATATATACCGCTCCGGTGGCCTATTGGTTAGAGCGTCCGCCTTTAGATGCGGGAGTTCGTGGATTCGATCCCCGGTCAAGTCATACCAAAGACTTATAAAATGGTACTAACAGCTGCCTCGCTTGATGCTCAGCATTAAGAGGTTAGTGTTAGGACTGGTTGGCCTGGTGTCAGGACAATGTGACTGGGAGGGACATCATGCTACATGTCTGCGGCATGATGCCCAGTGCTAGACATCACTATAAAAACTGCCACACTGCAGACATCATAGCGATATGACTGAAAAATTGTTAAAGCTACGTTAAAAATTATAAACACCACACACCTATATATATATATATATATATATATATATATATATATATATATATATATATATATATATATATATATATATATATATATATATATATATATATATAGTGTGTGTGTTTGTGTGTATTCATCATCCATTGTAGAGGACACGCTTTTTTGCGGCATTGAGAATTTTTATTTCTAAAAAGCTGTGATAAAAAGCATTTCGAGCAAAGGTTAATTTTCACTTTTCTAACTCAGCCGAATTAAAACTGATTAGATTTGACGTTATCCTTTAAGTGATAAATCTGTAAGTTTGATCAAGCTTCCAAAATTAGAGATGAGACACAAAATTACCATCTGAAATTACTGATTCAACACTAGGAGTATAAATCCTTTAATAACAGACAGCTCTTTTACTCACAAAATATTAATAAAATCTCTTTAAACAAACTGCAAATCAAAGGCAAACCAACTGCGATTCAATTGTGTTCAAAAGCACGAATTTGATAAAATTGTATTTAATTTCCAAGCACGATACTATTCCAACATAATTAAGTAAACTTGAATGCAAGGCGGAAGACTAATTCATATATTTATCTAAAGGAAATGTATGTCGTCCTTTGATGCTCACGTCTACGTGTCACGATATGTTTTTTTTTTCTAGGTAGCTATTCAAGGAATATGTCTTGCATATTATACACCATCTACGTCAATGATTCTAGGCTAAAAACTAAACCCAGAACCGTATTACGTATCATTCTACTTCATTGGTACTAGTGAAAAAAAATCTAACACCAGAATCGTATAGAGTGTCATCTACGTCAATGTGCTAAATAAATACCTGCTAACAATTCATAACTAATAGCACAAATACACACATTGCTGTAATGTTGGACAGAGAGTCCACTACGATGTCCCTTACCGTCTATGGATCTAAGTCTGCTAATTAGTGCAATGTAGCATGTTTATATGAATGTTGACTCTCTACCAGTGAAATCAGATTTCGATCATGTGCTCTAACCAAAAATCTTTACCGGTATTATTAAAGAAAGTAAAAAAAAAAATCTAGTTACACCATACATAGGCCTCTTAGTTTCGTAACTTGACATCATTCTATGTCGCGTATCATGTCTGCATGCATAAGTTTTCAAAGACTAAAATTAAAAAAGGTCGCATAGTTAGTCTTTAATGTCAAATACATTTATAAGCAAATTAATGAAGACATTATGCGTAATTTTTGATTACTGGAGACTCTTCGTGTGCGGAATGTTGATGTTCATAAAATTGAATGCAATGTCTTATGATAAAAACTTTAGGCGATGACTGTTACATACTATGGAATTCGCTGTCATATGTCGACCGTAAAATTCTTGCCAAGTTAGTTTCATTGTTTCCTTATTAATGATCCCAATGGTGTTTATAATTTTTAACGTAGCTTTAACACTTTTTCAGTCATATCGCTACGATGTCTGCAGTGTGGCAGTTTATAGTGATGTCTAGCACTGGGGCATCATGCAGCAGACATGTAGCATGATGTCCCACCCAGTCACATTATCCTGACACCAGGCCAACCAGTCCTAACACTAACATCTTAATGCTGAGCGTCAAGCGAGGCAGCTGTTAGTACAATTTTTGTAAATAATGACCCCAATAATGCTCAGTTTGGTAAATGATGGAAAAGCATCCTGTTAATATGATTAATCTATGCCCATATGGATGACAATTTGTATGATCATTACGGCATTCATATATAATAAAATACTGTTACTGAGTGTTGCTAGGCGAACTGATTTTCGGCTTTGTGATAACGTTGTTTCTCACTGGAGAAATCTCATCACGTGTTTGATGATTAGGCATCCATAAATGAACTAAAACAGAAATCCGATTGATTATATAGTTTAAACATTGCAACAGTTGCTTCACACGTATGCATGTTGTTTTTTTTCTAACCTGCTTTAGACACTACAACTTGCACACACATAGCCTACATACATACATACATACATACATACATACATACATACATACATACATACATACATACATACATACATACATACATACATACATACATACATACATACATACATACATACATACATACATACATACATACATACATACATACATACATACCTACGTACGTACGTACGTACGTACATACATACATACATACATACATACATACATACATACATACATACATACATACATACATACATACATACATACATACATACATACATACATACATACATACATACATACATACATACATACATACATGCACGCATGCATGCATGCATACATATAACCTCTATTAGGAAAATCTTGTCAATCCACACACATTAGGAGGTCAATGTCAAGAAAGGCATGTATATAGCGTATTTTTCATGTCACCCAAGAACAAATCTCTGGGATCATTAACTAGTGAAAGAATATGAGTGTTTGACTTGTTTTGCATGTACATTGATAAGATCAAAACCTCTGTCAAGGGGTATACCTTATGGTAAACCACAGTTCAAACACTTGCAATACACTAACTTGCGCCGACTTGGCATAATTACCTCCACATTGTAAAAGTCGACGTTTCAGAATTCCTTTCTTTTAGTAACTTTTTTAATTATTTTATTGACTCATATTTCACAGATTTGCTGCTATAGTACATATAAAAGAATAAACGGTAATATAAAAGTGTATTGATTCTTCTGTATTGGTTTTACTGTAGCCTAAGTCGTGCAGCTGAGTAGAATTGAACCAGTGTTCCCTAGATAGAAGTTGTACCTTAAAAGACAGTCTAAATCAGTGGTCCCCAACATCCGGGCCGCCCAAGGACCATTAAATTATATCCATTTTATTTACCGTGGTGTATTTCTCTCCGGTTTGTGCGACTTTCCATGGACGAGAGGTTAACTGGGAGCAGAGAGACGTCACCTAAAGCCGCACAAATACCGTACATGCGCATAATATCGTGATATCGGGGCGATTTTAGGACACGTCTGGAGCGAGCGGCTGAAAACGGAAGTGGCGTTGTAGCTTTGATGGAAAGAAGATGTGTATTGCTCTTCTCTCTGTTCACTGGTACTTGTTTAGCTGTCCTTGATATACGTGTTTATTGTGTCT